AATAAATATTTGCCAATATGCAGTGACTCAAGACAATGAAGCATGAAGTGTACAGGGGGTTTATGTTTACTGCTATAAATGACATGATTGCCGAATAAAACCTAAAACAAACAGTGTCAAAAATGGTCTGAATGGTGAGAAAATGGCCCCAGTAGAACCCACACAGTCTGATTGGACCTATCTGTCGTCTGTCTGTGCTAAACTGAAACTATCAGCCATCAGATCGTGCTATCAGCTGTCAAGTAAACGCTCCTTTTAGAGTCAGTTGACCTGGCTTCACTGGTCTTGATGAGCAGTGTCTGATGGCCGCCTGGCATCAAGATTCACCAACATGTGACAGGACATCTAAGTTACACCAACACACTTCAAACTGCTCTCAACATTGGATTTTCTAAACGTCACAGCCATCAGGAGTTGAGTTTTCTTTTCCTTGTGTTTTTTATTTATTTTAACTGTTTAGTATTTTAAGATTATACATTAAGGTTGGCAGTGCAACAATTAGTTTATGGTATTTTGATGAATTCAAATGTATTTAGAAGGATGCACACTGCGAGCTCGTGTCTGAAGACTGAAAGTAGGTTTTAAAGACTCAAATAAAATTTTGATGGATCATATTTGGAGACAGAACAAAGCTGCCAGACACAAATTGCTGCCATGAAGTTCTGTCTTATTACTTTACTTTAAAGGTCTTTTCAACTTTCATGTTGAATAAGCACAAGAGCAACATTATCATCCATTTGTTGCATTCTTTTTTTTTCTAACATTTATTTCTCATTAACCTAACAATTATTTTCTTTATTAAAAATGTCAGAATACTGTGAAAATGGTGATCACAATTTTCTAAAGCTGCAAATATCTGGTTTTGTCTGATCATCTATTGTATGAATGCATGACAGGACAGTTTATTTGCATCACCCCCTGGTGGCTGGCTGCAGTATGGGTCATAAAGCCTACCCCCTCCTCATTAACAGATGGGACAAGGGCAAGACTAAAATGTCAAAGAACACTTTATATAATATTTTAACAAAGATGAAATAAAATTCATGTCTTCAATTCATTGTCACACAATAATTGAAAAGAAAAACTGGAACGAGGGAATATTTGGCATTTTTAATCGGTTATGAAGAAGAGTTGTGTAGGTTATTGATTAATTCCTATTAATCGGTTTCAGCTCCAATTCTTTTCCACCTTTTTTCTTAATTAAACAACACATGCATATAACAAGGATGCGTTCTCAGAAAACGAAATATCATATATTTGATGGTAAATCAATTCTTATGTAAATTCAAGTGCATTCACTGTACATAAATAATGAAAAATGTCCTATATACTCTGTGGAAACTGTTCAGAGTTAATCACTGTCTAAGTTTAGTCTTCAGCCAATCAGTAGTAAAGTCTAAAGTTTTACACCAGTTTATCTTGTCTAAAGCATTGTCTAAAGAATGCTCCATGCCTCACAGATAACAATAACTACTGTACAGTAAAAGCACCGGTGCATTTCTAAGTTCACTTCCTGGAGATAAACACGGACATCAGCCAGTGGATCAGTTGCTTCAGATAACATGCAACTAAATTGACCTTACCTAAGATTTATATGACTGTGGAATTTGCTTCCTGAATATTCATTGCTCCCTCGTTGCCACATTCAGAGGATAATAAAAAATGTCTTTATAAGTGCAAATGAATGTGATGAATAATGTGTCCGTGAATCAACAACCATCACAGCACAGACACGACATTTTTGTAGATTATGTTATGGAATTTTCATAGACACTGTCTCTTGTCCTCTCATAGTGCAACAGGCTGTTGTTTTTGGGAATTGCGAGAGCTTGGCTAAGGTCGAACCCTTCACTCCCTAGACATCACAGATATGAGACTGCGTAAGCAGGCAACACTGTCTCCATAACTAGAAACTACATTTGATTGTTTAGGAACAAGCACACCCATAGATTAAATGATCTGTTGGGGTTTAAAGTGTGACTGCAGGAAAGCAGACTTCAGAATACGAGAGAGCATCATGCACAGATGTTGTGTGGATGAATTCGGATTTTCTCCTTCGCCAAGCGTCAATAAATATTTCAGCATAAGACGTCAAAGGGCTCCTGAACGCTTTCTTCATTGATGAGGTGACCACTGATCAGCAGATTTTCCACAACAGATTACTCTAACAAGCATGGTGACAGTTGGGTGTTTCTCTGACTTACTGAACCTAAAAGCTTTGACTGATCAAATTTGTAAAACATATGACTATTTATCATATTCGCAACTGGTCTTTTCTTTCTCTTGCATCACTTCCTGGATAGAGTAACTCAGGCAGATGAATGTGATTTCTGGTTGCTGATAAAGAAAATCCAGAGTCCATAGAAAATGTAATTTCACATGAAGAAATTTTGACCCACACCAAGAATGATAAGTTTTATAACTTTTATGAGCCAGAGTTATGTTTCTTTTTCCAGTAACATGCCCTCAGTACTTTTATAGGTTTTGAAGGTGTGGTGAGTTTCAGCTCACTGTCAAGTTTGTCAATTGATGTACTCAAAATCCATTAGAATCTGAAAGTCTAAGTTTATGTCATCACTTATTCAGAACTGCTGGAAAGTAACAGACACTTATTTACCATACTGGCAACAGTGCCTACTGAACTACAGACTCCATGCTCGATTTGCAAGGATGAAGTCTGTTCTCTAGACCAAAGTGCAGTACCATAAAAATCGGCATGGTACACCAAAAAAAAGTATTACAAAGTTTATAAAACAATTAAGTTTATATAAAAAAAGTGCTTTTAAAGGTACAGTGTGTAGAATTTAGTGATATCTACTGTTGAACTGTTGCAGCTGAACACCTCTCACCTCACTCTCTCCTTCCAAACATGAAAATAACCCTGTGGTGGTTTCAGTTGTTAAATGACTCAAAAGGTGTTTAGTTTGTCCAGTCTGGACTAATGTAAAAAACATGGCAGCCTGTATAAAAAACATGGCGCCTAAATATACAGTATTTGAATATAAACAGACTTTTCTCGGGTAAAGGAAACTACAATTCATACAATTTAGATGAAATGAACTAGTGAAAACATCATGAGAATTATTCTACATTAAATTTCTGCCATAGATCCCTTTCACCTAAATCTTACACACTGGACCTTCGAGGAAACTTTGCTAATTTTAGACACCAGCATCAACTACATGCGAGTACTGCTGCACATGTGAAAATGTCTCATAAACATGTTTTTGTGTCCTGAGAAAATCATTTCTGATAAATTGACCCAGAAGATGTTAATTTGAGGCAGATGACGGAAGCAGCTCAACCTGCATCACTACGGAACGTACCCAAATAACCAACGGGGTGTGTGACGGGGTGTGTAACATTTGTGTTCAATCTACACGAAAACCAAAGTGAAAAAATATGGACATTCGTCAATTTTCTGATGGTATGTTCCCAAATATTTCTCGTACTGGAGTATAGTGGAATAACTCCCTGGAGTTTGGAATTTCTGTTTCAAGAGAAGTTTTACAAACACAGTTTGGTTAATCACTGGGAAAAACTAGGCAGCTAAGACTCTTCCACACTGTATCCACGTGAACGAAACACTCCTGTGCTATGGCGACGTGTATTTTCAGATACGGACTGATGGATATTTCATCAAGCAGAGCGAAGTGAGGACCATTCACACAGCAACTTTATGTCTCAGTCTTTACCAGTATATCTTCTTCTGCTATATTAAATATTATATTATAACTAACACTGCAAACTGGAAAAAGAGCTATTCACTCAGTATGTTTGATTGTGGATTATTGTTATTGCAAGAAACCAATGTTGCAGTCAACACCTTTAAAAAGATAGATAGATAAATAGAAAGATAGATATATAGAAAGACTTTCCACTAGGTATTGATATCCTGTTGATATCCTGGTTAAAAAAAAGGATGGGCATCAACCACAACCAGCTTTGACCTCACACAACCTCAACCCTCTGTGGCGACCAAAGTTTTGCTAAATGCAGTAAGTCAGCAGTAAGTCAGCAATAAAAACCAGATATAGCTGCGTGTTCCGCTCATCAAATCAATACATGCAATTTCTCCCTGTATCACTGCACAATGACCCACACCCACACGTACAGGTGGGAGGGCTGGAGATGACGGGCTGCTGTGATAAAGTGACAATAAAAGCAGGTGTCGGAGAATACCCTCCGGTCTTTTGAGAGAAGAATCCCTGACAACCTCTCAGGTGAGTAGCACACCTTTCCTCTCAGATCTTTATAAGAAAATCTGGGACCGCACACAAACATTTGCACGCAGCTTTTAATTTAACTGAGAATCCAAGTATCTTTGTGCGAGTTTCGATTAATCTCGTACTTCTTTCTTTTACGTGAATTCATCGGGCAGTAATAATTCCTCTCTATAATGATCACAAATAAATTAGAATTGAGAAATATATACACATATTAAATTGTTTAAGTGAGGATGATGAGAACGGACTAAACCCAGATATGTTCTGGATGAGTTACATTAGTGATAAATACTGAATCTGAGTTGCAATTTGTTCCTAAAAGGGGAGACAAAGTTAGTTGAGGTGGATTTCATTTGGAAATAAGTTTCACACATGACGAGGCAGGGGTGGGTACATACTTGGTTTGCGCTGGAGGAAAGTTAGAAAAGGTTGAATGTTGCAGACAGGAAAGAGAAAACTGATATGTGTGTGTTTGCACAGAAGTGAACTGTGTCTCTGTGTTTGTGCTTTTGTGTTTAAGAACAGCTCCTGACTGAAGAGCACCGTCCAAACACACTCTGACACATCAATCTGGGACAATGCAACTGAACCATGTCATAGTGACTCTTTGCCTCCTTGGCACAGGTAAAATAAACATCCATATAGACCTTTTAGGAAGTACCTCTATCAAATGAGGTTCCCCAAAAGAATGAGTTTATACGCTCTACTTGATGGCATTACTTATTGTTTGATAAATTAATTACCATAGCCTGATATATACAAGCCATACTACCAGCAGATTTAATGCCAGGTTGTTTGAAATCCCACGCTACTGTGTTTTCTGATGATAAGGATGAAGCAATTAATGTTGTCCTTCCAGTAATCAATGTTTCTCACTTCTCTGTAACAGGTAAGAAAGGTTTAGTCGTTTATTGAGAATTGAAGTAATTAGAAAGGTTAAACTGATGTTGGTCGAGATTTTAAGGAAGTACAACAACAACACAAACATTGCTCTACAAAATGCTTATGATTGAGTTACGAAGTATTACTTAAACTATTATTAACCACGTATTAAGCCACTATTAAAACAAATAACCCTTTGACGGTACCATTAGAGAAAGTCATACAGAAACCTTTTTTTTCCGCCCTCACTGGGAGCTTCTAACATCTGAAACTATACCAGTGGGTTTGGACAACAATACATTTAGTTTCGTTTGAGTGTAAAGAAATTTATAGCATAAGGTTGTGTTTTTTTCTAATGTCATAAAAATATGTATGACACTGTTTTCTATGCAATAAACTGAGAAGATGAAATGGAAAATAAGGTGTGGGGCTTGTACCAAACCCAACCTCAACCTTTGCCCAAGCTACACTCAGCTAACCTTTCATTTGATGGCATGGCAATTATTCATGTCATGGTGTTGGCACATAGATTTATTGTAGAGGAATCTAATAAATAACAGGAGGACTGTAATGGGAAAATATATATGACACAGTACATGTAATTTTGTAAATATCACACAAGCCTGCAGTATACAATACTTTGTTTTTTTGCAAATTAAATGTTTTGCTCTACAACTTGGTGCAATATTTGAAGGGAACCATGGAAAATAAGGGAGCTATAGTTGCTGCATGTCCTGATGGTTGATAATAGAAGTCTGGGATTGATGGCTTCAGTCATAAATGTTGTCAGTGTTTGTTGAAAGGGTTAGACGGAGTTATTGTGGCACTAAGCTGGTGCTGTTGGGTCAAAGATTAGATTTATTATCTACAACATGTCCTGATTGTATAACATGTCCTGTATAACATGAACTTAATGTCTTCATGGACATATCTTCAATATTTTGAAACAAAAATACTTCATGTGTCAGTTCTAAAACAATCAGAGGAAAGATTTTATCTGCATTTGTATTTAGATGTCAGGGATTCATTTTCAACCATTTTCTGTCTTTTTACTCTTTCTGCCACAGTGGCCTTCTGTCGAGGGCAGGGTGCGGGGGCCACGGCCACGGCATCACCGGAGGCCTCGGCTTTACCGGAGGCCTCGGCTTTACCGGAGGCCTCGGCTTCACCTGGGGCCTCGGCTTTACCGGACGCCTCGGCTTCACCGGGGGCCTCGGCTTCACCGGGGGCCTCGGCTTTACCGGACGCCTCGGCTTCACCGGGGGCCTCGGCTTCACCTGGGGCCTCGGCTTCACCGGACGCCTCGGCTTCACCGGGGGCCTCGGCTTCACCGGACGCCACGTCCAGCCAAGGAACGGGAGCCCCTGGGCCAGCAACTGATCCCACTGTGCCTGTGGGAGAAGGTTCTTCAACAGGGCTTTCCTCTGGAGCCATAGCTGGCATCACCATCGGCTCTATCGCTGGAGTGGCTGCAGTTGGTGAGTACAGTGCACAAGCACCAAAGCTACGTGACACCTCATTTCTGCTTCATCAATTCCAAGCATATAAAGACGATTTGAATCCAATTTCGCACCAAGAAAACAAAACTGATGAAAAGTTTCGGATAGCAAATGCAAAATACTCCCAATTAGGCTGTTTTCATTTCCAAATGAGTCAAACTCACAACCTCATGTTTTACGGACGGAGAGATACTAAGTTAAATATTTCAATTTCTAAGTGAAGATGATCAGATGATACATGACTTACAGTTTTTGCCATCTTACTATCATATAACTTATCATCCATCATTTTAACTTTATAAAACTCATAATTTTTGACTTCCACATACATTTTGCATTAAAACTCTGACTTAGTATCTGAACATTTTGACAATGTGCAACATTTCATTGAGTATTTCTTAAATCATGACTTATCAGGAGAGTTTTAATTTCTAGCTTTAATTACTTTCACTCTGTTTTTTGTTTGTTTTAAATTTGATAATAGACTTCTACGATCTGAAACCAGTGGAAGTTATACTGTCGAGTTTAACACAGGGAAACTAGCAATACAAGGAAAATGGAGTAACGGTTCATGAACAAACACTGAAAAGCATCTGTCTATCTTCTTTGCAGGTGGTGGTATCTTTGGGGCGTTGAAGTACACCGGGAGGCTCTGAGACTACTTCTGGCCGAACAACAACTGAAATAGTAAAGCATTGTAAATGTAAACATTAACCATCTTAACTGATTAATTATTGACCATATTAACCGGATAAAGAAAAGGCCCTATTGTCTGAAAAGCCCAATTAGATTTTTTTAATTTTAAAGGGCTGGCAGGAAGACATAAAAGTAAATTTGACTTTTTTATTTTGTGTGTCCGCCTGTAAGTCGGGAAAAAATACTTAGTTGATCAAAAAAAAAGTTCTATATAGAAGTTTTAGTTTTTTTCTGGTTTAAAAATGTAAAAAGAAAATGCAAAGGTGTTTAATTATTTTTTTTTATATCTGTAGATATTATCAATAATGAGCCAGATTTCCTAATATCTATTTTGTGTGCACAGAGAAAAATAATTTGCTGTAAATTTACTTCTGTGTTCTGTCCCAGCAGATAAAACTATAGTCCATATATATTTACTGTAGCCTATATATGGAGAAAAACTGTGAAATCCCTATATACATTTAATAAATGACTCTTTCTCCTTAATATAAAGTGATGTCTGTGATACTTTATTACACCTGTCTAATTTGGCAATCTCTGAAGATAACCGAGCAAAGTCCAGACTTTGATTATGTAAGTGCGTCCTGGCAAACCCGACTTTGTTTGTTCATTTTATGAGGATATTGAAGTTTCGGTGTGTACGTGACAGTCATGATAAAGAAAAATCTTTCCACTGGATTTCAGACGAACTGGTTTCTACTCAGTTTCACTTTGACAAAGACTGAACACAAAAAGTTACTTCTTGACATTGGAAAGTATAAACATTATATATGACTTTACTTCTTGTTGAGTTTTCAACTGCATCTCACAAATAGAGCTTCTCATTTAACCGTTATTGAAAAGGCGAATAAGCTAATTTTAAAAAATGTGAAACTGTTAGGCCACAATAAAAAAATGTAATCTTGAATTTTCTTTTTTTTACTTTGGATTTTGGACCTAAATTATTAGACTCCGACATTCCAAAATAAAAATACCCCAATTCTTTCTGTGACATTCATAGTTTTACTCTTTTTGCACTTCTTTCTTTACCTATAGCTGTATTAAGCGATGACATATTGCCAAACAAAAACCAGACTTAATCCTTTATTGGTCTCACTCTAAAAAGATAAATATACACAGGCACATGTTATTTTTAATCAGTATTTGAAATATACTAATGCTGTATATCATTTTAAACAAGTTCATAAATAAATTATTTGTACAACTACTGAAGATAAAGACGTGTTTTTGGTGACGCTGTGAGTTGATCATCAGGTCAAACTCAGGAGTGTGTTATCAAAGTGGACTTTATCCCCCAGGAGGTGGGCACAGATTTATTGTACGGTCATTAGCTGAGGAAGTGTCAACATGGCGAGTGCTCGTTAAGAACACTGAGAGCATCACTGCTCCGAAATTACTGTTAATACCCTGAGCCGTGTGATTGGCCCATATGGTGTGGATGGGGGCCAGAGGGAGTGTGTGCACATGTTGGGGGAGGGGGGGTGTCCTATCAGTGCATGTTTGTAAAGATGAAAATGAAATGTTTTTATTAAATTAATGTTATATAATCCAATATTTTAGCACAGGCTCTTTCGTGTGACCCACAGATAACTCATAAGAGAGTGTGAATGAATGTGTGTGTGTTTGCACTTGTGTCCACACAACCGTGATATGATAAATTAACCCCTCCATCCTTGTGGAAAATATTTACATTTATAATTTTATTAAAGATTTCAAGATTCAAGGGTTTTCTTTGTTGTCATTTACTCATGTACAAGCGTACATGAAAGAAGAAACACCGTTCCTCCTCTACCAACAGTTTAATAAATAAAGAGAATAGAAAAGATTCTTACTAAGCAACATTAAGACAAAAGAAATACTACGAATACCCAATGTAAGGATTGTAAATGTGCTGAAAGGTTTCTTAAAACATTGCAGCATGAATAGTCAATGATAAATAAATTAAATGTAGATAGTACAATTGCTGTCTGATGCTATATCCTCATTCTTACCATGATAACAAAGTGACTTGAACAATTAAACTTTCATGGGTTAAAGGTCCAGTGTGTAGAATTCAAAGGGATAATGAATGTGTTATATTTTCTGTTGGGATCATTGTGTATTATTTCCAAGTATCTTAGATTGAGCCCTCGATAGCTACACAGGCTCCTCTTCCTCATTTTCACATTCTCCGAAGGCCAATGTTCTTCTGCGATCTGTCAAACTGTGAACCTCATATACTCACAACCCTTTTGTTCCAGACTAAACTCCGACTGTGTGAGAGGCTGTTTGTGTTACAGCTGCAACAACACTCGGAGCTCTGCGGCTGACAACTTTATCTTTTCTCATATTGGCCTCGTTGCTAGCAGAACATCTGTCTAAGGCGTGCACACACACACACACACACACACGCTCAGTTCTCTTTCCTCAGGCCTTAACAAGCTCAGTGGCTCAAGGGCAAGAGTTCGAGGAAACATGGCGTCCACAGTTGGCCATGGCTCGGTGATTTTATAATATATATATACATGTCAAACAATAATCTGTCAATTTATTCTGTGTTCGAGTATTGCTTCACTGCAAACAAACAGCGTAGTAGTCTTTACTCAAAATATCAGTTTAGTTAAAGCTCAGTTGTCACTACAAATCCCAGGACGCCTACACACAGCGTCCTCTAGTGGTGCATAGCGGAACTAGCTCCTCTGTCACATGGCCTTGCTCGATGTGTGCCAGAGGTCGTACTGACATGAATCCAACCTGAACAAAAGCCTGGACGTTATATCACCAGTGTTTTAATATAAAGGATGGATGAACTAACTCAATATTATGTGCAGAGTCACTAGTAACAATTGATTCACAGAGAATTATCACAGATTCTGCAGTTCTTCATGGATTTTCACTACATTTCAGCTCATTGCTTTGGTTTCATGCCTCGAAACTTTAATCGATTCAACCAAATTTTCAGTAAATAGGGGAACTTTTCTTTATTAGGCTGAAACCTCTGATAAACCCACTGAACAAAGCTCACAGACAAAAGTTATTGTCCAAATACTGGGATATGTAGCGAACTTTATTGCTAAAATGTTAACCAGCGTAACTTTAAAAGATGATATAATGAGTTCAACGTTGCCTCAAGTGACCAAAGGAATTCTTCATTGCTGCTTGATGTAGTTTAGCAGAGATATCTGTTGGAAAGGATGAGCGTCTGGTTAAACATGCAGTATAAAGTTTTTATTGTTGGTTTAACATTCTTTCCATTCGGTTGCCTGAATAAATAACGGTACGATAAAATGAACAGATGATGCAGCCTCAGTTGACACAGAATTGTTGATGTAAAGTCAGCTTTACTTTACTTCCTGAAGGAAGTATAACTGATGCATATTTATACAGCTGCTCTGATTTATCAGGCTTTTCCACAGTTGAGATACATTCAACACGCTGCCCATAAATACTATACAAAAATAAAATGTGGTTTGACATAAAACATCCCCTGTGCATCTGTGGATTTCCAGCATCATTAAATAGAATACATGAGTCAGTGTGTGACATCTTTCAAGTCTCTGTGACGTCCACATTCAAAGTGACACAAAAAATCCACACAATTGGCAAAAAAGGTCCAGGAAGAGCTGGAAATGTTTGTTTTTTTAAATGAAAATAAACTATAATAAAATAAAACATCATCTTCTGAGTCCACTGCTGCATGTTCACTGTGATGGTGACGCCCGGAGCTGGATCTCTAAACTTCGTGGCCAGTGGAGGCATCGTCAAATCACTTCCACCGAGTGTTCGATCTCAGTGCAAAGTGTCTTCACATGCACCTTTCTTCTTTTTTCACAGCAGCTTTGTAATGGCAGAACTTTCTCCACTAGGAGGAGCCCTCTCCACACAGGCAGAGTCTGCACCCAGAGGCCCAGTTGATGATGCGGCTCCTTCCTCCTCCACGGCGCCTAAAGCCGACATGTCTGATATTTGCCGTGAGGGGATGTGGCCAGCTCGTAGAAGAGCACGTAGGCGTTGCTGCTGCGAACCTGGCTGGAGGACATTGGGCTCACTCTGCAGAGAACCACAGAACACACGTGTGTCGTTAAAACACTGAAAACACTTAGCTTTGTTTTCTTAGAGAATTTTTATGCTAGTATTTACATATTTCTGTAATTAAATGTGGCCCAAACCAAACAGCGGTCACGCCCAACCAAAGGTGCACACGTGTACATCCACCCAAAGTGCACATTTCATGTAAAATCACGGTAACACAACTTTTGTGCCTTTTTCATGTCCTTTTGCACTTGACAGCAGGTACAGTACACCGAGTACAGTACAATTAGTATAATTAGATCCCAGCTTTCTGCCAGGCTTATAAAATGATAGAATGATGTGGGAGTAGATGTCAGTTGATACCTGCAGTCGTTGTAGCTGTACCACTCCCCCAGCGCCTGGTTCTTGCAGTACGCTGTGTAATGGCCTCCCAAAGTATTTCCAGAGTGGTTGGACACTGCGTACAGGCTGTACACGGGACGCTCTGCAGGGAGAGACACAACTCTGTCAGTCAGTTCTCATCAAATCCAGCCGACGCTCGGAAAGTGCATGACCTGTCCAGGACGCCGGGTACTTACCGCTGCTCTCAGAGGCAAACTCCCGCAGGTCCAGCTCTTTGAGAGGGAAGTTGACGTAGGTGGAGAGTTTGCTCGCTCGGACGTTAGAGTCTGAGAAACGCTTCAGGTCTGAGAGGAACGTTCAGTCAAGGAAACCAAACTGATTCAAAATACATATAAACATTCTTTCTTCACTACATTTCAAATACAAATTATACCTTTACTGTACTTTATGTTTAATTGTACTTTACTATGTAGTAGTTGTTTGTTGTCATTTGTCGGCTCATTGAATATGATGCACGGACAAGTTCAGCATTTTATGGAGTTTCCAATAAAATCATCGCCACACACTTCTAGTATTTATCCTACTTTCTTTGTATTTAACTGTGTTTTCTATGTTTCCTTTTTAACAGCCAATAACCGCGAGCATACATGTACATGTATATATATTTACATACATATACATGTATAATGAGCTGTAGGTTAGGCTGAGCTTAAACACAAACAGAAACACATGCACTAACTACCCGCAGGCTTATGCAGAGGGGTGTGTGTGTTTATTTAGCCCAACGAGCCAAGAATTGGAAGTTGGACAAACTAGATTTGACAAGTTACACACCCACAGACGTGTAGTAACATTGGCATTCACGCAACGTCTTCTGATGAGTTCTTGTTCACATGGTAAATCAAAATCCTATGATTCGTCTCGTTTTAGATTTGTTTTTAGTCTCTGGAGAAAACATCAAGCTCTTTGGCTGTTTGATGCTCCACTAGCTTGACTAGTTGCCAACCATCCTCCTGCAGAGCACGTGCGTACAGAAAGCTCTGGAAAGCTGAATGAAACTTCCTTGTGAGAGACGCATAAACAAACTCATTTGATTCTATGCTGTTGCTTATCTATTGTTTTTGCACACTGTGCTTTTCTTTTCTTCTATACCTTTACATGTAAATACTTTCTATACTTTTACTTTCTAATTGCATATCTCTATATTTGCATACTTGTATAATGTCTAAAATTGCAATTTCGTCATGTTGCTACTGCAGCAGTACAATGACAGTAAAGAATCTAGAAAAGACATGGCCAGACTAGATGGACTAGATGGATTGGTTAGTCAGTAAGTAGGTAGATACAGGTAGGTAGGTCAGTAGGTAGGTATGTCAGTAGGTAGGAAGGTATGTAAGTAGGAAGGTAGGTGGGTAGATCTGAGATACTGACTTTATGGGAGCATGTTAGCAAGAAGTTATTCAAAGGCATCTGGTTGCTGTAAGTGTCACAAAGGTGTGAGGAAGAGGATACGAAGAACAAGGATCTGAGGGAACTTCTGGATGCTGAATCTTTTGGTGCATGTCCTTCTGGTTTTGCATTTCTTGCATGTCTGAGAGAAAATTAGACAAACAGAGGGCGTCAGTGAGATGTTGATGTTGAATAACATCACGCGTCACTTTCATGTCAATTCTAAAAAGAATTGGGGAGCGGGTGGTGCCTCTTACCGGCCTCTCGTCTCCATCCAGCACATCTTCTTTAGTAAAGAGTCTCAAACAGTCTTTGAGAGTCACTTCGCCTGAGTTCTTCTGTGGAGACACGGAGAATGTCCGTCAATATAATGCAAACTTTACGACTCGATAGACTAGATTTAAAAGACTTGATGTGTGAAAAACCATTGAAAAGTGAGTGTGTGAGTTCGCTGACCTGAGCAATAGGTATTGATAAGTCCCAGAACGGATCGAACACAGTGGAGCGGAAACCACAGACGGAGCAGGTCAGAGAACTTTTCAACTGTCCGACGAATAAATCTACAGGCAGAGACAAAAGATGAAGAACTCAATTTAATATTCCAGTGTGGTTTCAAATCATTTCACAGCCACAATCCAACAAATACTCACCTACTACTTTGCTGTCCTCTCTCTCCAGGTACATATTCCACATTCTCTTGCCTTTTTCATCGTCCCTGTGAACAAAAATCATCTCACGAATAAGTTATGATAAACTCACACATGCAGCAGTGTTATTCAGCAGCGAAGGTGTCAGTGACTTACGAGAGGTGGTCAAAGTCCTGCACCGACACCTTGGGGCAGACTGTCACTCTGTTCACTTCATTATGGAGTCCGTCCAATAGCATGCGCAGAAATTCCTGAGCGTCCTGCTGACTGCGGAGAGATGGACAGAGAAACGTCATTATTTTACTCTTTCTACTGAATTCTTTCTGAACTATATTGAGTAAACTTCAACTTAGAGTTAGGATGAGGGAATAACTTACTGGCAGCCGACAAATTTTGGATCAAATCTCTGGATCTGGTTCCTGAAGTCGGACGGACTGATGGCCTCGTTGTTGACAGACGTCCACAGGCTTTGAGTCAGTTTAGCAAACTCTGAGACAGGAGGTGAAAGAAAGAGACCACGATTATACCATTGTACAAAGTTGTCACGTCTTCAGCAGTGATTTAATGCAGCAGAACAATTAATTCCTGCAGTTTCAGATGATAAGGACATATAAACTGATAAAGTCTGACCTACTGCCGAGCTGTAAAGTGATTCATGTTCCTCGTAGCGATGCTGATAACCTGTTTGGCTCAGAGTCACGACCTACCTTCCATGAGAGCTGCGTTCGTCCTGCAGTTGTTGTTGAGGTCTGAGTGATGGACGTTCCTCAGGCAGTAATCTCTCAGCTCTGGAGTGTTGCTCAGACATTGAAGGATGGAGTTCATGAAACACTGAAAATCACAAACGTGAGGATTAATCAAAAGAAGAGCTGGAGTCATGTGGTGGCATGAGAAGGTCAAAGTGCAGCGAGATACAGAGTTTATTATAAGGCCACACAGTGAGGTAAGAGAACTCACCGTGTTGCCAAGGTTCCTCAGTCCCACCAGGCCTTGAGGACTCTTGTTCTGCTCAAAGAAAAAACAGAAGAGATTCTTTATTCACGCAGCGGTCAGGGAATGATGAGTTTAACAGGAAGGACAGAGAGGACTCATACAACACGAGAAACACAACCAGGGACCATTAGGTTGTTTAGCAATAAAGACAAACTCTGACGGGCTGTGAACAACATGCAGGCAGACGACAAACCTCGAGCTCACTATGCAGATGTCATAATTTTCACCGGTAAGAATGAAGATCTGGGACCAAGTGTCACTAGACTAGATAAGTATTGTGGTAACTTGCCCGGCGAAGCTTTTGCAATAAAAATAAAAACATGTCTTTAAAGTGTACATTTTATTTGAAGTACTTATATTTTGTTCAGCCTGCACGTCCCAGCAGAGCAGCCTGCACGTGGTCTCGCTCGGAACAAGCGACTGTATGACAGCAACTCTGTCACATTCCTGAAGTGTGAATAAGCCTCAGAGGACTGTGGAGCATTTATTCAGCAGCATCGTATGATGGTCACACTGTTGCTGCAGCACCGTGCTGTAGACACAAGCTCCTGTTCCACACGCTCTGTGTTCTGACCCTTCCCTGCACCGACGAGCCCGACAGTCACCACACGCACCGCGCTGACGTCACGCGGACATGTGATGCAGACTGAAGGGAAAAGTTCGCCTGAGAATCTGAGAACACAACGTGAAGCATCAACGATCAGCTACTGACCACGCAGCTTGGTTGTGTTGTGTTTCGCCACCTGCAGCCTTCACATTCATGTATGTAAACACAAATCAAGCGGAACTAACTATTGTTCATTGAAGCACATCACTTCAGTTTTCCCATAATGCTATGGGGTAATGTTAGCACCGCAGGCTCACAGAATGGTTATTTGTCTCTGTACGTGGACCCATCAACACTCCTGTGCAGGGTGTACCTCGCCTCACGCTGATGTCTAAGGCTTAATCATTTTAATTGTGGGCAGCGGCTGTGGCTCCTTCAGTCTGCCTGCCTGAGAGCCCTTGGGCAGGACACCGAACCCTCAACCGCCCCTGACAGCTGTTCTGCCATGACTGTGAAAGATGTGTGATAGAAAAGCACAGCTGATAGAAGCACTGTATGAATCACTGAAGGGATCTGCGTGGTTGGTGCGACTAGAAAAACACTGTGACCGTCTAAAAGTAGTGGGAGATTCATCTGAATGTCACCAACTAAATAACACACAGCTAAATAACTGCTGTGAACACATTCATATATCTTATGACCATTACTCTCTCAGCATGTGTGCTCATAAACAGCTGACATGTTTCCCTCCGACCTGCAGCTCATCCTGAATGAGGGAACATATGTAACTGAGTAACGTGATGACTCAGAGAACCAGTGTCACGCATCAACACCTCTGCTGACGGCCGAGGAGCTGCAGGTATCAGCGTCAGCGCGGCGACACCCTGACGGAGGAACACATGAGGGCACAACAGCAAAGATGCAAACTGTAAACCGAGCAGCGACGTCAGCTTCCTGTGAATCACTGAAATATGGCGTGGTTTGATTTGCTGTTGCCAGGGGAGACAGGCGGAGGGTTCTCTTCTATTTTCCAGTGAACCACATTTGTGGTTATTTTAGCAAATGCACCACGGACCGTGAATAAAAATGGACGAAATGACGCCACCAAATCAAATCATCTTGATCGCCCCCTGGTGGCTGGCTGCTGTATGGGCCATAAATCCCGCCTCCTTCACATTAACACAGGACATGGACCAAACTATAAAGTCAAAGCACACAGTGAAAACGTTTTCTCAAAGAGGGTTTCTGATATTATAGGTTGTTCTTTATGGGGATTGTTATGGCTTCATTAGTGGACATTTGTCCTCCATCTTCATTCACAGTCTGTGGGTAACTCTAGAAAATGTCTGGGACAAAAGGGTTTTCCGGAAGTTTGTCTGTCACATGTGCAGAAGGCAGCAGGCAGAAGAACTTATCCTATTCAGGACGTTCAGTGAAGAGGTTCAGAGCCTCATGATGTTTATCACATTGTTCCAAAAGCTGAAAATAGAACAGTGACAGTATAAGCTATTAACAGCCGGCTCAGCTGAGATCTTTTCCCTTCTCCTGTGCTCTGTTGTTTGAAGGTGACCATATGGTGCGAGTGCCAATCCGCTGCTGTGCTCCGGTGGACACCGACCAGCGGGGCTTGGCACACTCAGAACTCGAGGAGGCGACGGAGAACGTTATGTCCTGAACCAGCGTTACATGCTCGGTTAAAGCCGATGTACTGTGACAAAAACAGCAACACTCCTGAACGTGCGCTGCCAGCGATGCCACTTCCACTTCCACAGTATAAACAATCTCTGCATTGTTGTGGCAGCGCAGGGAAAGATACAATATCCAATCTTTAAACTCTTATGTGGTTGTGAACTGAAATTCGTGGGTCGCACCAGAAGCAGAAGCAGAATAAAGTTTATTGCCGAGCACGTTCACATACGTGGAATTTTGGTTTTGCGATGCAGAACAGTGAAGAACGAGGGCAAAGATAAAGCAAATATTTTTAATTTGCTCAGTGCTTGACTTTTGCAGGTACTGTGAGTATGAGGAGAAAGATAAATACAAGAGCTTGGATCACAAAAGCAGAATGATAAGGAGAATGATAAGAATATGTGTTACAGAGCGCAGCAGTTTGTGCAGGAGTGAATGTAGAATATGTAGGGATGGTGTTCATATGTATATACACATCGTGTTCATGAGAGGACGGAAGATCAAACTCTTATGATTCTATAAACCAAACATGTTGTTGATTAATTGGGAAAAGAAAATGCTTATTTAATAAGTGATGAAAGTTATCGCTACTTTCAGCCTTAAATTGAAATTTTGTTTTCTCTGGGCATCATGAATCAATCGATCGATCAGTTAAACTTTAATTCATACAGGAAGCGCAAATGTGCCTCACAATTGACAAATGAAGTGATCCTGCAGAGAGCACAGGTTGTCTGTGGAAACCAACAACATCACCGACAGTCTCAGCCAAGACGGTGACATGAGGTGTGACCTGTGACTTCAGGCAAACTCATTCACACCTTTACCCTGCATGGACACACACACACACA